TCCTCCTCCTCCTCCTGCTCCTCCTGCTCGTCGTCCTCCTCCTGCTCCTCCTTCTCCTCCTCTCCTCACCTGGCTTCATCGCCCTCTGAGGAGAACTCTCAGGAGCTGCTTCCTAAACCTCTCCTCGACGTCTGCGCCCCCGATCTGCACCGCGGTGGGCGGGGCCGGCGCGGCGGCGACCCCGCCAGGGTGGCCCAGGCGCAGCAGCGCCGGCGCGGGGCCAGCGCGTTCGCGGAGCAGACGCTGCGCACGGTGGGGCGGGGGGGCCTCGGCAGAGGCGCAGTCGCGCGCTTGGGCAGCCCCAGACGTGCAGCGTCCCGCCAAAAGTCAGGACGGAGACTGCTCTTCACTTGCAGCCCCTGGGGTCTAGGCCTCCTAGATGGGGTCGGAGCAGATGGGGTCGGAGGTTCGAGCCGCATCGCCAATGCATCGCCGATGCGGCTCGATGTGCAGCCCGATTTGCTTCGCGTCAACGTCGCCGATGCATCGCCGAAGTCGACGATGCATCGCCGGTGCATCGCCGATGGATCGCAGATGCATCGCCGATGTATCGGCGATGCATCGGCGATGCGACGCGATCCTCCGACCCCATCTACTCCGACCCATCTAGGCGGCCTCCATGGGGGCCCTTACTGGACCGGGCCTCGGGGACCGTCAAGAAGCGCTTTGGGATGAGACGTTGGAGGCGGGGCCTCCGCGGACCGCGTCGTGCACACATCAGGACATCGTCTCTGGGTCGTCAGGGGGAGACAGGCCCAGGGGGAGCTGCACGGGCGCCCGATCGCCCACTGATCGCCGAGAGGGGGCCCGATGGCCGTGTCCCGCCAGGAGCCTTCGGATTCGCCATCGGTGGCCTGTCGCCGATCAATCGGCGATGCGTGGGCGCTGGGCCCCCCCTGGCGGCGCCTCCGGCGCCGCCCCAAGCGCGCTCCGCGCGCCAGAGGGCGGGTCCAGCGCCGATCCAAGACATCCGCGCGGACACCCGAACGTTTATGTGTGCGTGTACAGTTGTTGTTTCCTCCTATGGATGCCCTCGAGAAGGAAGTGTCGGAGCACGAGGAGGAGGTTCGGTGTTCGCGGGTTTCGTATCGTTGTGCTTCATACTTGTTCTCTTTTGAGGGTTGACCAAGGGCTCCACATCGCAACGGCTGGATTCGCCTCGCAATTCTTGTCAGAGCGCACACCAGGAGAGGTCCAGACAGGCCAAATGAGGCTTCCTCTCTCTGTTCAGTCTGTATTTCTAATTTTTCTCCTTTCCACCGTCCCCTCCCTCTGGGAGGAGGGGGGAAGGCAGAGAACATTTGAACGTGGGCCCACGAGGCCCCACATCATCCATCTTGGCAATCTCGCTCTCACGGCAGGGCGCCAGATTGATCTGTCCACGGCCCTTCGGTTACGGGTGGTGAGATTTCCTCCCAACGACCCACCTCATTACCGAAAAATTATTTTGCCATTGCGGTTGGACGCTTGCGTCGAGGTCGAGAGAGGAAGGGAGAGAGTGCGAGTGTGTGCATGCGTGCGTGAGAGAGAGAGAGAGAGAGAGAGAGCGAGAGAAAAAGAAAGTGAAGATGAGTGAGATGAGCTACGCTTGGGACCCACTGCGGAGGCACACTGCGTACGGTAAGCTGCGGTGCTTCCTGCGCATCCTCTGCTTTCACCTCGCTCGTCCGCCGGACCACCCCAGGCAGCCAGGATCCACGACGTCGCCAGCACGAACAGCAGAAACACGAAAGAAAGAACGAAGGATAGGGACGAGAAGGACGCAGGACAGGGACGAGAAGGACGATTGACGCAACGGATCGAGCAGGTCGGGTGTGCGACGTGCGTTCAGGAGCGCGGCAGTGCGATTGCGAGTGCCCGCCCGAGGCTCATCGTGCGATGTCGCGCTCGCTTCGGTGTTGCCGCTTCCCCTCGGAGTTTTGAGCGCGCCCTCCAGAAGCGCATCGCTGCGTGGGTGCTCCCCCACACGCTGCCACCTCCGCCTGAGGTCTCACGTCCCCGGTGCGATCTTCCTGAAGCTCTGCGGGGTGGGCAGCGGTGGTCCGCCCTTGGAAAAATCGCAGGCCGGGAGATCAACCCATCGCACGTACGTTCTCCATCTCAAGGGCCGTGAGCTTGTGCATCGGCGCCGGCCCGACTCCGTCTCGCACTGCATCAGGCCTCCTGCTCTGTCCGCCCTGGTCTTCAGCGTCCCTGTCCAGCTCCCCCCCTCTCCAGCTTCCCACCCCCCATGACTTCGGATCCGCCGTGCATTGGTTGATTTCTCGAACTGTCCAGCAACTTCACCCCAAACGATGCGGACAAGGAGGGCGGGAATGCTTGCCTTCGAGAAGTAGGGCGGCGCCCTCCGCAAGGGTACGGCTGACACCGCGACGGCAAAGTAGGGCGCAGCTCGACATCAAAGGAGCTTGCAACGTAGGGTGGACATGCCCTCCCCTGCCTGCGAGATCGCCCAAAGTATGGCGGATCCGGAGTCAATAGCCGCCTCTCCGGCTCCCTCGGACCCTGGGAGGTCCGCCACGACGCCCACCGCCTGCTCGGAGAAGTCGGGACCTCCCAGGGCTGCCTGGAGGATGCCCCCTCCGCTGTCCCCCAACCCCTCGCGAGGAGGATGGGCGGGGGGCAGGAAAAGGAGGAGGAGGATGAGGAGGAGGAGGAGGAGGAGGAGGAAGAGGAGGAGGAGGAGGAGGAGCGAGGAGCGAGGCGCGAGGAGCGAGGAGCGAGGAGCGAGGAGCGAGGAGCGAGGAGCGAGGAGGAGGAAGAGGAGGAGGCGGAGGCGGAGGCGGAGGCGGAGGCGGAGTTGGAGGCAGAGGAGGAGGAGGAGGAGGAGGAGGAGGAGGAGGAGGAGGAGAGGACCAGGATGGGGGGAGGAGGAGGAGGAGGAGGAGGAGGAGGAGGAGGAGGGAGGATGGAGGGGGGGGGGGAGGAGGAGGAGGAGGAGGAGGGAGGAGGAGGAGGGAGGAGAGAAAGGAGGACAAAGGAAGGAGGAAGGAGAAAAGAGGAAGGAGGAAGGAGGAGGGAGGAGGGAGGAAATAGGAATGAGGCAGAATAATGGTGGAGGAGGAAGGAGACATGATGAAGGAGGAAGGATGAAGGAGGAAGGAGGAGGGAGGAAGGAGGAAGGAGGAAGGAGGAAGGAGGACGGAGGTGTCGGAGGAAGAGGAGGAGGGAGGAAGGGGGAAGGAGGAAGGCGGAAGGAGGAAGGAGGAAGGCGGAAGGAGGAAGGAGGAAGGAGGAATGAGGAAGGAGGAAGGATGAAGGAGGAAGGAGGACAGAGGAGGGAGGAATGAGGAGGGAGTCCGCAGGAGGGCCAGGGCTTTCGTAATTAGACGACAGCAGGGCGAATGTGGCCTCGCGCGAGGTGCCGCACAACTTCTGCAGCCTATTGCCAGGCCGAGCAAACATACCGGGGGTGTCTCCGCGATGGCCTTGGCAAGACAACCATACAGGCAGAAGGTATTTCCGATTCTCGGCAGGTTGGCCAAGCAGAGTTCCAGGCCTCCTACGAGTGCTTGGGCGTATGGCGCGACAGTGGCAGAGCAGGAGAGGAGCACTTGCGAGAGCTTGCCCGCGCGGGTGAGACTACTGGCATCCAGCATGTTTCCGCATTGGTGCGCGCGGAGTTGGGCTTTGCTTGGCCAGGGATTCAATTGAGCTGGCAGACCTCCCCACCACCATGCACGGCGCTGAACTATGTGCTTACCTCCCAGCTTTCGAGAAGACGCTGAACAGGGCCCAAGGACAACTTGCGCGGGAACTCCTTGGCATCTCAGGCCCAGCGCAGCGGGCAGTCATTCTCCACGAGGTGGGTTGGACGTCCCGGTGGGCCACCAAGTACCGCTCGCGCGGCACTGCTGTGGACACGCATCAACACGGACAGCCGCTATTACGACGCAGCCCAGGTTTGCGCAGTGGCCGCGGCCCACCTGGGCACATGGAGCCGTTGGGTGGTCCCCTGGCATGGGATAGAGGTGCTCGGCGCGGCAGCCCCGTCCCTTTGCGAAGCCACCCGCGCCGCCAGGAAGCGTTGGTGGTCAACCTACGGCGCGCGGCTCGTCCACCCAGCAGCAGCGGCAGAGGATGACGCCCGGCGGGAGCAAGAGCCGCAGCGAGGCTACCTCCAGGCGCATGGTGCAACGAGGTGGCGCGCATGCGACGTGGCCGAGGCGGGCGCGCCAGACCGGTCTGTGAGGCCTTGGGCGGCTCTCCGGGCCACGGGCGGGTTCGAGCGCACCCTCCGCGGCGCGTGGCTTCCCTGCAGCCTGTGCGGCGGCGAGGAGGAAACAGCGTCGCATCTCATCCAGCGCTGCCAGCGGGCGGGCCGGCTTGCCGCAGCGTGCGCTGGCCGCTTGGGCGTGGCAGTGCCTGCGGACGCAGGCCAGCGGGAGGAGTGGTGGCTTGGCGGCTGCCAGGACGCGGACCGCCTTGCTGTGGCGGAGCTCAGCCGTCATCTTTCTGACACTCTTGCCTCGTACTAAAACATCGCGCCGCCCTCTCGCGCCCCCCTCTCCATCCCCTCCCTCTTCCCGCCTTCCCTCCCCTGCCTCCCCGCCCCTCCGCTCTCCCCGCCCGCCCTTTCCAGGGAATGATGGGGTGGTCAGCAGCACGGGGAGGGAATGTTTCAAAATAGTTGCTCTTTGGCAAGCGGGGCCTCGTTGCCCGATATCCGGAGTCGCAAACAGCCGCATCCTCCGACCAGAGCAGTCGACCCCTTCCTCTTGCGTTTGTCCTCGTGCTGGGTCGGTCTGCGTGGGCCCCGTGGGGGGGCCAAAGCCGCTCGTGCGCGGCTCAGAGAAGAGGGCCCCGGGAGCCGGCCACACGGGGGAGGGAAGCAGGAAGAGCACATCGGTGGTGCGGGGCGCTCTGCAAGCCAGGCCAACGCCCCGCAACCACCACGATCCCACTCTGCGAGGTCTGGGCGGCGTGTCCGCGGTGCTCGCGGCTGGGAGCGGGGTGGAGGGAGGGAGCCCTGCGTGGCAGGCCCGCGCATACCCCCGTCGTCCTCCGATCCTCCCGGCGGGCTCTTGTCCGGGCGAAGCTGCAATTGGAGGGGGGGGGGGGGCTGAGCGCCACCCCCCGCCAGCGCGCGGTTGCCTCGTCAGGAGCGTCCCGGCCATGGGGGGGGGTCCCCACGAGAGGGCGGCGCCTCCTGCTGCGACGAAGCGCACTGCCCCTGTTCTTCGCACGACGTTCTCATGGCGACGCAACGACGACCTTGACCTTCACATGTAGCGTCGCGACGCTAAATTTAGCGACGAAAAATGAAAGGACGACCTGAATTAAGGTTGGACGCTATTTAAGGTCAGACGGGTGTTCAAGGAGTAGATCGGCATGCCGCCGTGGCCGTGGTGGCCTCTCGGCCGGGAGTGCCCCGCCGCGGCATCGCCCGCGCGGCCGCGGTCGCGCGCGACCGCCCTAGAAGCATCGGAGGAGAAGGAGGAGGGAGGTGGGGCAGGGGGAGGGAGAGAGGGATTTTTTGGATTGCGCTGCTGGGAGAGAGGGAGGGAGGGAGGGAGGGGTACGTGCGACCACGGCGGGATATCATCCTGGGGGCCTTCTCCCCCTCCTCTTCCTCCTCGTCCTCCTCGTCCTCCTCCTTCTCCTCCTCGTCCTCCTCTGCCTCCTCTTCAGGGGGTACCCGCAGATCTGGGCATCCAGGGCAGTTGTGGGAGTCCTCCCACGGCGTGCTGAAACGTCCTGGAGGCCCCCCCCTTTGACTTCCTGAGTCTCCTGGGCCCGCGGCCCCCGCCCGTGACTATGCGGCGCCGGGGGCTGTAAAACATCGATTCTGCTCAGACGTCGCTGCTGAAATTCAAGATCAGCGTCTCCGCAAAACTCCGCCACCCTGGATTCTGTGGGTGTTCTGGATGCCTGGCCGGCTGGGCTGCAGGCAGACTTCGGGGGGTCCTGCAGATCCAGGAATCCAGGGCGCAAGGATTTCCACTTGGCTTCACAGTTTAAACAGCTTTTGTGTGTTCCAAATATTCTAAAACGTTCAAGTGCTGCATTCCAGTTTTGAATCTGCGGGAATCCCAGATGTCTGGGAGGTCGGGGGCTCCTGCAGATCCAGGAATGCGGGCCCCAGGGATTCTCAAACGTTTTTCATGCTTTGCTGTTTATTTCAATCCTTTTCGGTTAAATGTCGGAGGTCCTGCAGCTCCAGGAATCCAGGGCCCAGGGATGTCCACACGTTTTTACATAAGAAGTCACACCATCTTAGGGAACTTCATAGTAGAAACTCTGTGTTTGGGAACCACACAGATTTCCAGAATTTTGGTCGGGGTCCTGCAGATCCAGACCTCTAGGGCCCAGGGAGTTTTCGGGTGTTTCAAGCGTTTGAAACTTGGGAAGCTTGTTGAGAAATAGTTCTGAACTTTTGGGAATCAGAGGTTTCTGGAGTTTCGGGGTGTCCTGCTCATCGAGGAGTCCAGGGCCTTGGGATTCTCAGATGTTTGAGCTGTTTTCAATCCTTGATGCGTTGTCGGGTGCTTCAACTTTCAGAAAATGTTAAGAGTTTTGCTAACTTTGGAATCCCAAGTTTCTGGAATTTTGGGGGGGTCCTGCAGATCCAGAAATCCAGGGCCCAAGGATTGTGAAAAGGTTGAAGTTTGGCGAACAAGAAAAAAGGTTTCAACATTTTCGGGCGTGTCAAACGCGTGATTGTTTAGATTGCCGAGAGTTTTGATTTTTTGGGGGATCCCAGATTTTTGGAATGTCGGGGGGCTTTGCAGATCCAGGAATCCAGCGCCCAGGGATTTCCAGACGTTTTTATGTTTCAAGATGTTCACTGATTTTCGGATGTTTCAAGGGAATCCAAGGCTTCAAAGTTTCAAGATGTTCACTGATTTTCGGATGTTTCAATTTTTACACATTGACGAGCTGCCAAAGTGTTCAGAATTTGGGAATCCCAGATTTCTGGACTTTCGGCCGTTCTGTAGATCTGTGCTCCCCGGGCCCAAGTTTGGGCAGTTTTGACAGGTATCGCAAGGCCTGCCGAGACGTCCTGGGGCATACTGGGACTTCCTGAGTCTCCTGGGCCCGCTGCTCCCGCCCTTGGATCCGCGGCGCCGGGCGCTGTAAAACATAGATTCTGCGCAGGCGTCGTTTGTTCGGTAAGAAATCGACGTCTGCGCAGAAACCCCTCCAATCCACCTCCTCCAATCCTTTTCCTCATCACTCCGGTCTCATTCGCCCCCCCCCCCCGCATCTGTCCTCTTCCTCCTCTCTCACTCCCTCCTCCTCCCACTCAGGAGGAGGATGGGGGGATGAGAAGGAGGATGTGGAGCAGGAGGAGGGCGAGAAGGAAAAGGCCAGGAGAAGGAAGATGACGAGGATGAGGATGGTACAGCGCATGCCAGTGGATGCGTGTGATCAAGGAGGCGTGGGATCATAATAATGATGGTGATGGTGATGGTGACGTTGACGATCACGCTGATGATGCTGATGATGGTGATGGTGGTGGTGATGATGTTGCTCATGATGATAACGATGATGATGATGATGATGATGATGATGATGATGATGATGATGATGATGATGATGATGATGATGGTGATCATGATGATGATGACGATGATGATGATGACGACGACGACGATTATGATGATGATGATGATGATGATGATGATGATGATGATGATGATGATGATGATGATGACGATGGTGAGCCGAGTGTAGGGCTACGGGGACGATGGCGACGGCAGCGGCGACGAGCACGCTGGCGGTGGCTGCGACCACCGTCTGCAATGTGATCCTCCTTACATATGATGGGGTTGAGGAGAAGGCGGAGGAGGAGGTGGAGGAGGAGGAGAAGGATCTAATAAACTGCCCTCTGAGTGGCCACTTCGGGGCGCCTCTCCCACAGGGCTTTGCATGTATAGTCTGTGTTATGTATACATATGGGTAGTTTTACGGTATCTAGATCGTTCTATGCTTGATCAGTCACGCATCAATGTACTTTGTGCGATCCGCTTAGAGTGCTCAATCTGTGTATATGCATGGCTTTATATATATGCATATATATATGTGAATGCCCATCTGTGTATATATAAAACCTATAGCTGATTATACGTGTGCGTCTATATATGTATGCACACATGTGGCTATATGAAAATGTGTACATGCATACGTCAACATGTGCATACGCCCAAGTATACGACATACCCGTACACATGCATATGCACATGTACATGTATATAGGTATATGTATATATACACACCTGCATCGAGATAGTTATTTGACTAGATCGATGCATATACATATCCGTAAGGGTTTCGCCCCCTGCCGCCAGTCCCTTCAGTATCATATGGGATCTATCAGAGTCGCGTCGGTTCGTCTCGGCGCTGCCTTGGCGCATCTGGGAACATCATGCGGGGGCGGATGGGAATCTTCAGCGCATATGGGGACTTTAGCGTTATCGAAGACGCCTACCGCGACTCACCGTCGCCCCCTGCCTTTTTGGAAGCGCCTAAGTGGCCGAACGTTGAGGCCATACCTGCCAAGCTATCGGACCATGTGTTCCCCGAATCGGTTTGGAAAGCCTTCGGGGAACACGTGGGCATCTTGAAGGTCATCCTGGCCGCCTGGAGGCCATTTTGACACTTTTCGGGCCTTCGTGGAGGACGTCTTGGAGGGCTCTTGGGCCGCCTTGGAGGCCATGTTGAGCGTCTTGGAGGCCTCTTGGGGCCGTCTTGGGGGCCTCTTGGGGCCGTCTTGGGTCTCTTGGGCGATCTTTGGGGGCACTTGGGCCGTCTCGTGCCGTCGGACGGCAAATAACAGCAAATGCCACAATCCTTCAAAACCTCATGGGAAATCACTGATGTTGCCCGTTTCGGGCCTTCCTGGAGGCCCTCTTGGAGGTCTCTTGGGCCGTCTTGGGCCATCTTAGTGCCATCTTCGGCCGTCTTGGTGGGCCCCTAGCCCGTCCGACGCCGTCGGAAGCCGTTTGGGGGGCCTCTCTGAGCCGACTTTGAGCCCTCTTGGAATGCTCCAGGGCCGTTTTGGAGGCCATTCTGGATATCGAAAGTCTCCTGGACCGTCTTGGGGGCCTCTTGGGGCCGTCTTGGAGGCCTCTTGGGCCGTCTTGGTGGGCTCCTGGCCCGTTTGACGCCGTCGGGATCCGCTCGCGCGTTCTAGTAGCCGTGGCAGACCATACTCATTGTCCGGCAGCACGAGAGAGAGAGAGAGCGAGAGACAAGGGAGGATGAGGAGGAGGAGGAGGAGGAGGACGAGGAGGAGGAGGAGGAGGAGGAGCAGGAGGAGGAGGGAGGGAGAGAGGAGAAAGAGGAGGAGGAGGAAGAGGAGGAGGGAAAGGAGGAGGCGGAGGAGGGGAGGACCAGGAGGAGGAGGACAGGAGGAGGAGAGGAGGACGAGCAGGAGGGAGGAGGAGGAGGAAGGACGAGGAGGAGAGTAGAACGAGGAGGAGAGGACAGGTGGAGAAGGAGGAGGAGGAGGAGAGGAGGAGGGAGGAGGAGGAGGAGGGAGAGGAGGAAGAGGAGGAGGAGGAAGAGGAGGAGGGAATGGAGGAGGCGGGAGGAGGCGTAGGACGAGGAGGAGGAGGAGGAGAGGAGCAGGAGGAGGAGGACGAGGTGCAGGAGGAGGAGGAGGAGGAGGAGGACGAGGAGGAGGAGTAGAACGAGGAGGAGGAGAACGAGGTGGAGGAGGAGGAGGAGGAGGAGGAGGAGGGAAAGGAGGAGGAGGAGGAGGAGGAGGAGGAGGAGGAGGAGCAGGGAAACCAGGAGGAGGCAAGGCCACGAGGAGGAGGAGGGCACTCACAGCAGTCACGGAGCACGCGTATGATTCAGCACGCGCGGGGGCCCCGCGTGCCTGCCGGGCTGCTCGAGCCCCTGCCCGCAGCAGGACGCGTCCGCCCACTTCGCCGAGGCCCAGCAGGCCGCCAGGCACCTCGGCGACCAGCCTGAGGATGGGGGAGCGAAGTGTTCGGCGGCGGAGTCCGGGCCGTACCCTCGCCGATCAACGATTCAGGCAACCTTGATGGGCGGTTGGGGTGGGGTTCGGAATTAAGCCCGAGGATTCAGCTGGGCCCGCCCCTCTAAAAAACACGGAGGTCCGCGAACGAAATGTTCGGCGGCGGAATCCGGGCCTTCCCTTCGCCGATCCACGATTCAGGCAACTCGATGGGCGATTGGGGTGGGGTTCGGAATTCGTCAAGCACATGGCAACATCCGAACTTGGCCCCCGCCTCCCATCGACTCGGGAGAAGCGATGGTTGGTGGGAGTATTGTTCGAATGTCGCCACCTACATGACTTTGGAGGTAGACTGACATAAACACAAAAGCTCGGAGGTCCGCGCGGATTCCTCGGATCCGCGCTGGACTCCCCTGGCGGCGCCTCCGGCGCCGCCCCTGGCGCGCTCCGCGCGCCAGGGATGGGGGGTCCAGCGCGAATCCGAGGAATCCGCGAGGACCTCCGAGTTTTTGTGTTTATGTCAGTCTTCGTTCCCCTGGAGGAGGAGCGCGCCGCGGCGCTGCGGGGCGTGGCGGAGGGGCTGCTGGCCATGGACCTGCACTTCGAGGCGCCGAGTGGTTTTCACCGAGCTCGTTCCATGACTCGCCAACGGCATACTCGCAAACGTCCGAAAGACATGTTGTTCGCCTCGATGTAGTATACCGCAGATCCCCCGCGGCGGATCCTGGCCATTGCGAGTAGTAGTTACTACGTTGCGTGTAGTGGAGCGCTCGTGTCTAAGTTCGGTCGCAAGTCAGTGGAGCCTGGCATGTACCCTGTTAGTTCCGGCTTTAGCGTCGGCTAGCGTCGATTTGCGGCTGGGTGTCGATGGGCTCGTGCCGATTTAGCGTCGGCTAGCCTCGAATAGCGTCGATTTAGCGGCGATTCGCGTCGATTCGCAAGTCGATTAGCGTCGATTCGCGTCGACTCGCAAGTGCCGACACGATGGGACGGGAGGCTCCCACGAGTTGCCACAGAAGAGTGGGTCCGCGCGCCGCCGCCCTGTGGCGTCGTCGCCGTCGTCGTCGCCGTCGTCGCCGCCGTCGTCTTCGTTATCGTCACGGACGTGGTCGAGGACGTCGCCGTCGTCGACGTCGTCGTCGCCGTCGTCGTCGTCGTCGCCGCCGCTGCCGTCCTCCTCTTAAGCCTCTTCTCTCTCACTCCTCCCGCTCGCTCCCCCTCCTCCTCCTCCCTCCTCCTCCGCCCAATCCTCCTCCTCCTCCTCCTCCTCCTCCTCCCCTCCTCCTCCTCCCTCCCTCCTCCTCCTCCTCCTCCTCCTCCTCCTCCCCTCCTCCTCCTCCCTCCGCCCTCCTTCCTCCTCTCCTCCTTCTCCTTCCTCCTCTCTTCCTCCCCTCCTCCTCCTCCTCCTCCTCTCTCTCCTCCTCCTCCTCCTCCTCCTCCTCCTCCTTCTCCTCCTCTTTCTCCTCCTCCCCCTGCATCCTTCCCTCGTCGCCCTCTCCGTCCTCGCCCTCCGCTTCTACCTGACTGGCGGCAGCTTCCCTGCGGCCTTTCCTCTGCCCGAGAGGTTTCGGCCGTGTGCAGCAATCCCGGAAGCTGGAACATCATATATATATATATATATACATATATATATATATATATATTACCAGTGGCGGGCTGTTTTTCAATCCCAGAACTTTTTGAGGGCCGGGGGCGACGTCGGAGTGGTGTGGTGTATACAATTTTCCTTGTTTTCCCGTGGAAACAGCGAAACATGTATACACCATGCTCCCGTATACGACATGATCCGCTTTCTTGTGCGAGTTTCAGTGCGGGGCCGTAGAAAACGTAGGTGTATAGAGTCCGGTCCCTTACAATTGGGCCAGACGACGACAGCTCGACGATACAGTCGTGGCATTCTTCACCAGTATGAGGCTTCGTCCTTTTCTTTCGTCCCTAGTTCCCTAATGTGCCATCAAAGAGACGGCTCCTCTTATCCCCGGGCGGTCATTCATGGGTCATCGGTTTGATTCGATCCAATTTCCCCGGCGGCCGATTCGAAGTGAGTCGATGCGGAGACTCGTATTTGCGATTCCAATTTCAAGTTCGGCCGATCCTGCTCCTGCCGATTCGATATGTCAGCCGATTTCTGCCGATCCGGCTTCACTCCGGAAGTCTATCTTGCGCCGTTTTGTGGTCTACGCGGTTGCACGTGCAGGTTTTGATGTCGTTGACGGTTCGCAGCAATTGCAGAGCTGGACGAACCAGACGGAGGAGGCTGAGGTCCTCAGCCTCCTCCTTTGGGTTCGTTTAGCTCCCCTCCGCCTCCTCCTCCTCGTCCTCCTCGTCCCCCTCCTCCTCCTCCTCCTCCTCCTCCTCCTCCTCCTCCTCCTCCACATCGTCCTCCTCGTCCCCCTCCTCTTCCTCCTCCTCCTCCTCCTCCTCCTCCTCCTCCTCCTCCTCCTCGTCCTCCTCGTCCCCCTCCGCCTTCCCCTCCTCCTCCATGAGGAGGATGAGGAGGAGGGAGGGGCACCAGGAGGACGAGCGCCCCATGAGTGTCCCGACGGCGCGCCGACGCACGGCGCGGTGTCGCTGACTTGCGGATGCCGCGCCGTCGCCGCCCTCGCTGTCGGCGCCGCTGACGGTGTCGTCGCCGCCTCCGCCGCGCCCGCCGCCGCCGCCGTCGGCCAGCGGCCAGCGGCCTGAGAGGGGGAGGAGGAGGAGGAGGAGGAGGACCAGTGCAAACCCAAGAGTCAGCAGCGATGTTGGAATAAACCCTCCTTCCAAGCTCCCTCATCATAGGCCCCTGTAACGGCTCATTTAAATTGAAGGAATTGCCTCTTTGGAAGACAATTGCTTGAAGACTCTGAAGCATTTCAAAACATTGTCCTCGGAGTTCCAACGCCACGGATCAACCTGAGCGCTGCGTCTTGACAATCCTGAATCGCGCCAGAACATCATTCTTGGGACATCAACACTGCGAACCAACATAACTGTTTCATCCGCAAAATCCGGAATCCTTTCAACACACCTTTTCTGACACGTTGACAATGGGAATCCGTGGAAATTTTGCAATTCTGTAAAACGAATGTGCGCCGCGTTAGTGCGAGAACCACATTTTGAAGAGGAACCGCCATCAATCCGTGAAACTCCTGCAAATGTTCAAAACGAGTATGCGCCGCGATAAGGCGAGAGCCACATGTTGAAATCCACCCGCCCTCAATCCGCGAAGCCCCTGCATTTTTTGGGGAAAACGAGTGTGCGCCGTGCTAAGGCGAGAGCCACATGCTGAAAACCACCCGCCCTCAATCCGTGACACTCTTGCAGTTTGTTGAACGAATGTGCGCCGCGCTGAGGAGAGAGCCACAGTTTGAAAACCAGCCGCCCTCAGTACGTGGAATTACTTATTGCAAATGTTTAAAGTTGTGCGCCGCGCGAAAGCGAGAGCCTCATGTTCAAAACGGCTCGCCCTCCATGTGTAAGACTGTTGCCAAAGTTTCAGCTTCAGAGTCGTAAGTGGTTAGAAGGCGCAGAAGAACACCCATCCCGCCCTAAAAACTGGCCTCGGGGTGCGACAGGCAGATGTTATGCACATGGAAAAGAAATGGAGGAGGAGGAGGAGGAAGAGGAGGAGGAGGAGGAGGAGGAGGAGGAGGAGGAGGAAGGGAGGAGGAGGAGGGGAGGAGGAGGAGGGGGAGGGCGAGGAGGAGGAGGAGGAGGAGGAGGCGGATGATGTGAGGAGGAAGAGGAGGAGGAGAAGGGGGAGGAGGATGAGGAGGAGGGGAGGAGGAGGAGAAGGAGGAGGAGGAGAGGAGGAGGCTGAGGAGGAGAGGGTAGAGGAGGAGGAGGAGGAGCAGGAGGAGGAGGAGAGGAGGAGGAGGAGGAGGAGGATGAGGAGGAGCAGGAGGAGGAGCAGGAGGAGAAGGAGGAGGGAGGGGACGACGAGAGGAGGAGAGGAGAGTAGGAGGAGGAGGAGGAGGAGGAGGAGAGGAGGAAGGGAGGAGGAGGAATAGGGAGGAGGAGGAGGAGGAGGAGGAGGAGGAGGAGGAGAGAAGGAGGAGGAGGAGGAGGAGAGGAGGAGGAGGAGGAGGAGGGGGAGGGGAGGAGGAGGAGGACCAGGAGGAGGAGGAGGAGGAGGAGGAGGAGGAGGAGGAGGAGGAGGAGGAGAAGAAGAAGAAGAATAAGTCGGTTCTCTGCGGGGCGGGAGCCTGAAGGGGCCAGGGACCCAGACCCCCGACGTCGTGTTTTTTTCCCACCACGTCGACCCCTTTCCCGGGGACGGGCTTTTCATCCCGAGTCGTTCTTTGACGGTCCCGAGGCCTGGTAAAGGCCCCCACACAGGCCGAAAATAGTTTGCTTCGCAGCGCGAGGGGGTCTCGGGAGCCAGGTCGCCACGGCCAGCCCACTTCGAGATCCTTGCCCAAGCGCACCTTGGGGCAATTCCAGGGGGGGGTGGGAGCCAGGTCCCTGGGAGGCAGATGAGGAGGCTGCGGAGGAGTAGGAGGAGGAGGAGGAGGAGGAGGAGGAGCAGGAGGAGGCGGAGAAGGAGATGAGAAGGAGAAGGAGAAGGAGGAGGAGGAGGAGAAGGAGAAGGAAGGGGACCAGGAACAGGAGGAGCAGGAAGAGCAGGAGGAGGAGGAGGAGGAGCAGGAGGAGGAGGAGCAGGCTGAGCAGGAGGAGGAGCAGGAGGTTGAGGAGGGGTAGGCTGTGTGTGTGGGGGTCCGTGACGGACGGGAGGGGGGCCTTGCTACGAGAGGGTGGGCCCCTCGGCGAGGAACCCCCGCCGGGAGGGGGGGGCCCTGCCCGGAGGGGGGCTCCCGCCGGGAGGGGGGCCCAGCGGGCGGGGTGCTTCCTCCGAGAGGGGGGGGGAGAGGCCGGGCCCCTTGCGAGAGGAGCCAGGCCGGCGGGGGGCAGGGGGTGCCCTCCGAGAGAGGGCCTCTCTGTCGGGAAGGAGGGGCGAGGGCCTGCCGAGCGGGGGGGGGGTCCCCTCCGCGAGATGGAGCCCCTCCGAGCGGCGGGGCCCCCTCCGAGAGAGGGCCCCTGCCGGGAGGGGGGGGCGCCCTGCCCGGAGGGGGGCCGAGAGGGGCCCCCCCCTCCGAGGAGAGGCCCCCCCGCCCTCCCCTCCGAGCGGCGGGGCCCCCTCCAAGAGAGGGCCCCTGCCGGGAGGGGGTGGCATTCTTTTCTGGGGCTACTGTCGGGGGCTCCCAAACGGTGCGGTGACCACACCGTGCGGTGAGTCGGTGGGGATTCGGGGTCACCGCACGGTTTTGGGACTCGGGTCGTTCTCCGAGGACGTCTCGGGCAACTGGGGCCTCCGAGGTCCCAAGACCGTGCGGTGACGGACCGGGCGGTGAGGTCTTGGGGGATTTCGAGGTCACCGCACGGTCTGTCACCGCACCGTTTCGGGACTCCAAATATTGACTCGTCAGTTTTTTGGCGCGTCGATGTGCAACGACGTGCGCTCTTCTTTGGCACAGTCGCAGTGGTATGCTGCAAATTTGAGCATTCGTCTTCCTTTTGCACGGAGCGAGGTAAGTCGTCATACGTAGAACTATCCAACTGTAAGATAGAAAGGCTACAACATTCAACAACTACTGAATCTGGAGCTCTGGGGGAGGGGGGGACAGGGGGGACCATCACGGACGGGGGGGTCCGTGCGGGGTCGGCCACAGTCGGATTGTGGGACGAGCCAAGCCGAAAGTTGCGACGATTGACGCGCGCGAGCGTGCACGACGACATGCGACGAAAACGTATGCGACGACGCATGCGACATCGTGCGTACGATGACATTCGACGACGCCAACGACGACGTACGACGACGAACGTTGGGAGAAGCCTATCACCTTCTCCACTTTCTTTTTTGCCCTCCTGATTTCGATTCCGATCTGGCTTGACGCGAGCCGGTGTCCGATTCGATCCGACTCGACTTTGCCGACGTCTGCCGATTCGACGTGTCAGCCGAGTTCTGCCGATTCGATGTTCGGGTCGATCCGATTCGACTGATCGATTCGATGCAGGGGCCGCCTTATAACTGCCACGGGCGTGACCAGGGGGGGTGGGGAGGGCGGGACGGGGGCTGCTCACGTCACGATTCGCGCTGGCGCCATCTGGGAACGCTTGAACCTCAGAGTGGCTATTTCCCAGACGACGCCAGCGCAAGTCGTGGGGTGACCAGGAGGTTTGGGAGGGGGGGGCGGGGCGGGGCCAGCACGGGCGCTTTTGACGAATCGTGAAACACGGGCTCAAAAGGATACGGGCGCTGGCCGATTGTTTGGTCGATCTCCATTATTTTGGGGGTGCTGGGGTCGGCGTTGCTGTGGGGGGGGGGGGGGACGCGCCCCGACTTTGGGCCAGACCTCGGAGCCACGGGTGGGAGCCAGCGACCTCCGCGCTCTCCGCTCCTGAGCTTCCGAGCGCCGCCGCCGTCGACCGTTTTGTTTTTTTCTCCCGCCCGCGCTGTTGCAGGCATGGCCGAGTGCAGCGCGCGTGCTTCACCACCTACCAAACCACCCCAACCCAACCCAAAGGCCCCGATTCGACCACAGAAAAAATGACACCACCCCTCCTACGGCCCACCATGTCGCGCTACGGTCCATCGGGTGCCATAGCGTATACCACGCAATCACCCACGCCAGATCTCTTGGTATACGCTGAGCCCCGTGGTCCGGTGCGGGAATTGATTCATGAGCACCGCCTGGAGGATCAATGTTTGGGGACCTCGGTCGGCAGGCGGTGGATATGGATAGATTCGGGCCCCCGGGGGCCAAACTATATCCATATCCGCCGCCCGCTGGGGCACCAGGGCGTCGGTTCCCAGGCGGTGGATATGGATAAATCTCCGCCTCGCACGTGGGGCCGTAGGCGCGGTGCGGTGGTGTCGTTGATCGTCTGGTCCACCGAGTTGCCCTCCATTCCCGACGGTGGGGGGGGGGCGGCGAGCGCCGCCGCCGTCGAACAGATCCGTTCCCGCCCGCGTTGTCGGAGGTATATGGCTAAGCACCGCGCGCCGCGTGCTCCGCCGGGGCTCCAGCGCGGGAGCCTGCCCCGTTGGGGCGGATTTCGGCCCAAAACGAAAAGTAGGCAGAAAGCACCCCCCAAAAGGTCCAACATGGTCAAAACGTCGCCCCATGAGTAACCTTTACTATTTTCGGAACGTTCCTCCCGTAGAGGGGACAGGCCCGACTTAACCGTCAGCGGGGCCCGCGCCTCGCCGCACTCACCGCCGCCGCCGCACTCGCCGCGGCCGCCGCCACCCTCGCCGCCGCCCGCTGTCGCCGTGCTGGCCGTCCCCGCCGCCGCCGCCGCCGCCCTCCGCCGCCATCGCCGCCGTCTCCGGCGCCGTCGCGATGGCCGCCGTCGCCGCCGCGTGCCGCCGTCGCCGACGTCGACGTCGCCGTCGTTCACGGCAGCACCTCTTCCTACGCGTAAGTCGGGCCTGGCCCCCTACAGGAGGAATATTCAAAAATAGTAAAGAAATAGTCAGGGGACGATTTCTTTGACCATTTGGGAATATGTTTAAACTATTCTTCATATTCCGTCCAAAATCTCCCGGAAGGAAGACACGCCCGACCTAATCCTACGCTTACCAGCTTGAAACATACCCCTATCCCTATGCTTGGCATCATCTCACCTCGGTGCCGACCCTCAGGATTCCCGCAGCGTCTGTGGGCACACCCCTAAGACTCTCATCGCCTTGGGGTTCCCGACCTCAGGGATCGACTAGACGAAAGGGTGACCTTTCACCTGAGTGACCTTTGGTGCGAGCTCACCGGTGTCCCCCCGATCGCTGAGCGCGATGCGATAGTTTAGCGGGCGAAGAACGGTACAACATAAACTGTTCCTCGCCAGGGGCGCTGCCCCAGGGCGGCTGGAAAGTTTTTACCTTGACGTGCCACCGGAAGGGTATGAATTTTCCAACCGTCCTGGGACAGGCGCCCCCGACAACCGACAGCGAAAAGTTTATGTTATACAATTCTTCGTCTGCTCAATAGTGGCCGCTTACGTGCTTGGATTTGGCCACCTTGTGCCTTTTTATCTAGTCCGCGCACTGCAGGCCACTCTTGCCCAGGGTCACTCTTGCGCGTGAGGAAGCTACAGAGAGGCTGCCTGTTCTCTGATCACAGATGGGTTCGCCAGCAAGGCCAGCCCAGCGAGGAACACCAGCAGGGCCACATGAGATCCCATTGGCGCCACACTCGGCCAGATTCGACTCGACGTAAGAGTGACCCTTCGCCGGAGTGATCATTAGTGTGGGCCTGCCCGGGTCCCACGATCGACGAGCGCTACGCGACAGTAACGGCTTGCGCGCTCCGGTTTGGCCCCCTCGCGCCCCCCCAAAAGCTGCGCACCCGAGGCCATTCTTACCCAGGGTCACTCTTGCGTGTGGCCGACAGATGATCAGCACGCTGGTTCAAATATTGCGTGTAGCCGAGGGGATGGGGACGAGTTCGAGGCTGGTCGTGCGTCGTGCCCGTCACCCCGCCCCTGGGCGTGTGCCTCGCGCGCGAGGCCCTGGGGCTCACCAAGCCGGCGCTCGCGCTCGGCGCCACCAGAAGCCCAGGCCCCGTCGCGGGGGGTTGCGCGGAGGCGGCTGGGGGCCGACGGCCCACAGGGGCGGGGCACGCCTGAGATCCTGGCGTCTCCACTTTTCCGAGCTGAGCGTTCTCGCATGCTGTCGGGGCCCGAGCGTTATCACTCACAGGCGTTATCCATGTTTCCGAGCTGGGCGTTATCCATGTTTCCGAGCTGGGCGTTATCCATGTTTGCGGGCTGGGCGTGATGCATGTCTCCATGTTGTCTGGGCGTTATCCATGTTTCCGAGCTGGGCGCTGTCGCACCACAGGCGACTGTTCTTTTTTAAAGGTATGGACGATCAAGACCGTGATCGGCCCCGTCCCTCTCTCCCACCTGATCACGTCGCGCCACTTTGCCCACGCCTGCAGAGCTCTCCCACGGATTCCTCGAGGATCTCCGAAGTTTTCCGGCGGCCCCCCGCCGTGCTGTGATCGGCGGGGACGCCTTGCCTCCCTTCTCCCGCCCACGCCTGCTCGCCAATGAAAGCAACAGTCTCCACATCGATGCGGCTCGAAAAGTGACGCTTAAATCGGGCGTGTCCCTCTACAGTGGAATACTCAAAAATAGTCAAACAATAGTCTGGGGAGGATTTTGGTTTATCATTGTTGAGCATTGTGTGTGTATCTTTCGACTATTTTGCACTTTTCGTCCAAGAATGGGGCGGGGCTGTTCCGAAGCCCTCGCGCCTTCTGAGAAGTTTACTGTGTCTTCGGGTAGGGTTCAGAAAAATGTTCAGAAGGCTGGATGACTTCCGAGCCTTGTGGGACGGCCCAGCCCCTCTCACTTCCCCCCAGGCTGGCCGCAGAATCACAAATCCATCTGTCTCGTAAAATGCAGCAGAAAAGTGCGGTCTAGGGCTCTGGTCGTGTTTTTCTGGGACGTTTCGATTATTTCGCCACGTCGGATCTCAGGGTTTTGGTGTTCGTCGGCCCTTCTTGGGCTTCTGGAGGCCTCCGTGGACTTCAGCTTCCTGGGGGCTTCTGGAGATTCCCGGGCCCAGACATGCGATGCCCAGATTTTTTCAAAACGCGGTCCCCGAAAGCTCCGATCTTTTCCCGAGGGCTGGTGTTTCACCCCGAGGCGTTTCTTCGAGGTCCCGGAGCCCAGGGGGGGCCCCCATGCGGATGCCGAAAATGACGAATCGTTGCCGTCCTTTTTTTCAGGACGGTGCACGTCTGGCTCTTTCTCCTCCGCATCATCATCATCATCATCGTCATCATCATCATCATCATCATCATCATCATCATCATCATCATCATCATCGTCATCATCATCATCATCATCATCATCATCATCATCATCATCATCATCATCATCATCATCATCATCATCATCATCATCGTCATCATCATCATCATCATCATCATCATCATCATCATCATCGTCATCGTCATCGTCATCGTCATCGTCATCGTCATGGACATCCCTCCTCCATCTCCTCCTCCTCCTCATTCCCTCTCCACCTCCACCTCCTCCTCTTCCTCATGTCCTGGGGTCTGATGGGGGTGCGGAGTCGCGTGGTGCTTGGTCGGCCGTCGCGGCCGCGGGGGGGCGGCCAGGGGTGGGCGGGCCAGGCGAGGCGGCGTGGCGCGGAGTCCGAGCCATGGCGAGCCTGTGAAGGGCCTGGGACAGCGCTGTGCCTGGGACCCAGACCCCCTCGAGTCATGACAAAAATCATTGCGGGAGGTTTTTCTTACTTTTCGGCCTCTGGGGGCCCTCGCCCGGGCCTCGGGACCGTCAAAAAGCGGCTCGGGAGGAGAAACCGGCCCAGGGGAATGGGTCGAGACCTTTGGGGGTCGACGTTATGAACAAATCATGACGTCGGAGATCGTATCTTATTCCTTGTTTGGGCGATCGTCGCGGGCCCTCGCACCCCCTCCCGCCCCCCCCAATGGAGTGGACCTTGGCTGTTTCTGGCGCCTGTCTCAAGCAGGCGGAGTTCCCCCCCTGCAGACAGTCGCCTTCTAGGCAGAGGTCCGAGCCAGACCTCCCCCCAACTTCCGCTCCCACCCCCTCCGCCTCCCCCCCTTCCGCCCCTCTTTCCGACTTCAGCTGCCCTCTCTCTGCAATTGGTCGCCTTTCCGATTCTGGTTTCCATCTCTCGGGCCCCGGCTCCCATTTCCGACTCCTTCCCCCCAGCACGTCTCTTGAGAGCTCTGGCCCCTGCCCTCTGAGGCCGGTTCCGCCAGACCGACATCGCTCGGGGCTCCAGAGGCGGAGGTCGATGCAAACGGGGGTCAGCCAGAGTGCCGGATCTTGCAGGATCCTGTAGGGCCAGGGTCTTATTGACCCGGGATTGGATGCAGGATCCTGCAGGATCCCTGGCATGGACCCAGGTTTAGTCGCGCAGGAGCTTGCAGGATTTTGCAGGATTCTGCAAGGCTTAAGTCGGGCCTGTCCCTCTACAGGGGGGAATATTCAAAAAGAGTAAAACTATAGTCTGGGAGCGATTGTTTGATTATTCTTGCTAATTCTGGGGGTATGTTTTGAGTTCTTTTTCATTTTTCGCTCAAAATCCCCCTGTAGGGGGACGCGCCCGACTTAGCGCAAGGCATGACTGACCCGGGCTTGCATTGGTCCGGGTCAGCGAGGCCCCGAATCGCGCGCTCTCGCCGCGCCTCGCCCCCTCCGCCCACTGCCGCGAGGCTGCGGCCTCCATGCCACGCCACGGCTGGGCGCGGGCGCGCTCCCGAGAGCAGCGCGCACCCTTCCGGCGTGTGTGCCCTTCGCTTCGCGTCGCCCGGTGTCGGAGCGCCGAGGAAGAAGACGCTCGCCAGTAGTGGTGATGGGCAAATCTTCCACCACCTACCCACTACCATGTGTAGGACGGGGGAGAAGGGAGGATGAGGAGGTCCTCCTCCTCCTCCTCCTCCTCCTCCTCCTCCTCCTTCTCCTCCTCCTCCTCCTCCTCTCTCTCCTCCCTGTGGCAGTGCTGGTGGGAAGTGGGCCCATCAAGTGGCTCTTCTGCGGCAGGGCGGCTCCGCCCAGGGCCCGCTCGAGAGCCTGGCGGCGTCCGTGCGTGGGCCTTCGGAGGTGGGCGCCCCGTGCTTGGCCAAGCGACAGGCAGAGGCCGGCGCAGCAGCAGCAGCAGCAGCAGCAGCAGCAGCAGTCCCAAACAAGGCCTTTCCTTGGCATTGCCAGCAGCGGCTCCCCCCCTCTCCTCCTCCTCCTCCTCCTCCTCCTCCTCCTCCTCCTCCTCCTCCTCCTCCTCCTCCTCCTCCTCCTCCTCCTCCTCCTCCTCCTCCTCCTCCTCCTCTGGCCCAACCCAACCCAGCTCTCCTCCGCCCTCCGCCTCGTGTGCCTACTGTCAGGTTGGGCATGTCCCCCTACAGGCGGATGTTTGGACGAGAAGCGAAGAAAAGATCCAACACATCTGCAAAACAAATCAAACAAGTACCATGAACAAATCATTCCCATAATACTTGGACTGTTTTTGAATACTCCCCCTGTAGAGGACGTGCCCGACTTAAGCCTACCTGGCTCCGTGCCCATGCTCCACTTCGCTGCCCTCCGCTGTGCTCACCGCCTCTTCCTTCCCCTCTGTTTCGTCGCTGCCGCCGCAGTGGCAGCAGCAGCTCCTCTGCTGCCGCAGCTGCTGTTCCTCCTGCTCCGCCTTCCTCCATCTCCTCCTCCTGCTCCTGCTCCTCCTCCTCCTACTCCCTCTCCTCCCTCTCCTCGTCCTCCTCCTCCTCCTCCTCCTCCTCCTCCTCCTGGTCCTCCTCCTCCTCCTCCTCCTCCTCCTATTCCTCCTCCTCCTCCTCCACGTCTTCGGTCCTGTCTTCAGCGCCCACAGGCGCCGGCGAAGTCTGACAAGGAGCCGGCACGTGGCCGAGGGCGAACCTCCCGGGCACCCAGGAGGTGTAGGCAGGGAAGGGGAGGGATGAGGGTAAAGCGGCGGCAGATAAGGATGTTGGTGTTGGTGTTGATGTTGATGCTGATGATGATGATGGGTGTTCTTGAACTTTAATCCTGGAGCAGAATGAGTGCCGCTGGACAATGATGTCCATCTCGGATCTGCCATCCGCAGCCTTTTCTCTCGATATGCGGCCAGAGGAGGCCTGGATTTCATCGATCGCCCTCCTTTTGGCCGGGTTCGCCCTCGGTCCAGCCTCGCGCGGGCTCGCGCCCTCTGGTGGCGGGCAGCCACCACCCGATCCTCCGCCGGCCGCGGAGGCGCCATTGGAGCCAGAGGCGCCCTCAGCCGAGGCCTGCGCCGCCTGGGTCCAGCCCGCTCCGCCGTGCGTGGAGCCGACCGTGGAGCTGCGGCCGCCCTCCATCGAGGAGTGCGTCGCCCTGCTCCAGGAGTGCGCGGCGGGCGCCGGGCAGGAGCCGGGGCAGCAGCTTGCGTATCACTCGCGGGCTCGCTATTCGTGGAGGCGCTTCGCGGGCTGCTTGCCGGGCCTGGGTGCTGCCGACGCGCCCTGGTGGAGCAGCCTCCGCCGGGGCACGGCCAGCGCCTTCTGTGCTGCCTGCTGGCAGCCGTGCGCACCAGCAGCTGCGGGGTTCGGGCGTCATCAAATGAATGAGGGTGATGAGCTTGTCATCGAGTATGCGGTCCACCCTCCGTTGCTGCTCGGCCGCACTGTGGTGGGTGTGTCTCAGATACAGCTTTTCAACGCAGTGGTGGCTACTCCCGACAACGGCCTGTACGTGGGAGAGCTGGAGCCCGCCCACACGGACATCCGCGCCTGGTATCGCAGGACTCCAGGCGGGGGGCCCCCGCCGGCCGCGGCAGCCGGGATCCTCGTGTACGACTTCGCGCAGCCTCTCATGCTCGCCGACTTCCACGCGCTGCGCCCTGCAGCCCTCAGACTCGTCGCCGAGCACGACGCCGCCCTGGCCGCCGCCGGGGCCGGCGACGCTGTCGTGCCCGCCGGGTTGGGCCCCGCCGTGGCCGCTGCAGCAGCTGCGCCCATCGCACCTGCCGCGGCAGCAGGGCCTGCATGCCTCACCAGCGCTCCGGCGCCTCCGCCCGTCCCCGGGGCTCCCGCTCCAGCATGCATCGCAGCGGCTGCTGGAGCAGCTGGCGCCGCGGCCGCCTCTGGCCCAGCAGCACTCGCTGGAGGCGCCGGGCTTCCACCAGCCGCAGCAGGAGACGACTTCTGCACGCTGGCCGTCACCTACGATCAGGAGGGTCGACGCCACAAACAGTTCGGCGAGGGGGTCAGAGCCATGCGCCAGCAGACCTGGCCGGACTGGTTTGTGCTGGGCCCGTGTACGGTCTTGTGGTGCGCCAACTACATGCTGGAGGACGGCGGGTCGGCGGTGGGACAACACATCGCGTTCCGCTCCGCCTGCCGCCTCGGGCTGGACGGCCCCGTCATGGTGCGTCGCTCCGAGATGTCGAAGATCTTCCAGACTGCTTTGTGCTACGAGATGCTGGACGCCAGCAACGTCGATGCCCTCGAACTCATCTGCCGCCAGATCCATTGGTGCGAGGAGAAGCTCAAGGACGTTCTGCTTGGGTCGTCGTGCCCGGAAGGGCAGCATGACAAGAGCTTCCTTTTCACGGGGCGGCAGAACACTCGAGGGGCCAGGGTGTGCCCGGCTCTCGCAAAGTGGTTTTCAGAGCAGGTCGCCGCCGAGAACGCCGTGGCCAAGGAGCGCCGCAAGGCGTGGGAGGAGAGGGCGCTCACAAGGCCGCCGCCGGGCCGCGGGCCGCGGCCGGGCCGCGGCAACGGCTCGTGAGCCGCGCGGCCGCTCGACAGGACAAGGCTGCTGCCCGCGCCCTGGCCGCGCGCGGGAGCTCCCAGTGCAGGCCCTTCGCTCCTGGCCCCAGATGGCGGCCAGTCGCCAGCGAGACATTTTCCCTCTCTCCCCGCTCGACGTGCCCGCCAGCCTGCCTGGTGGCTCCCGGGCTATTCAGCGACGGCGTCAGCGGCTTCAGCACAGCGCGAGGCTCGCCAACCACGCTATCGAGTCCCTCAACTTCATGGCTGGCCGTTCTTACGACGGGCCCGCCCAGCTGGACACGGTCACCCAGGCCCTCGCGAAGGAGCGCGTGCTGGGCAACTGCGTCGCGCTGGGGCCCCAGCCGCAGGACGTCAGCGCCCACGGGAGCCTTCGCGAGCTCTGTGGGAATGCCATTACATATGGCGACTCCTCCCCGGTCGTGCCCTACAACAAGGATCTCGCGTCCTGGCCCGAGACGGGCGCGGCGCCAGTGCAGCTGTCGGACGCGCTCGCCCCGGAGCACCACACATGGTTGAGGGATCTATTGGCCAACTCGCGTCGCAGTAACGCTGACGCTGACCGCCTCAGGAAGGAGTTGGGCTTGGTGCGCCCTTACTCCGATCCTGCCTTCCGCACCATCTCCAACTACGCTGGCTTCGTCAAGCAGTTGCACTCCCGTGGCATGGTGCGCTTCGCCCTCGCCACCGGCCGGCCGCCGTCGCTGGGCATCTTCATGGTGGCCAAGAAGAGCGGCGCCCAGCGCATTATCTTCGACACGAGGTGGGCAAACCTGGACTTCACTCCTCCGCCTCGGACCCAGCTGCCGACGGCGGCCGCGTTCAGCCAGATCGAGTCAGCTGGCTGCGACGTCTGCTACTTCTCTGCCGGGGACATCCAGAACGCGTTCTACGCCATCGCCATCCCTGCCGAGCTGGGCGACGCCTTCAGGCTGAAGACGGTCCGAGCTGGTGCCGTCGGCTGTCCGGCCGTGGATGGCCGTCCAACCCGCCCGGGAGATCTTTTGACCCCGCATCTCGCCGTGCTCCCCATGGGCTGGAGCTGGGCGCTGCACCTCTGCCAGCTCGTGGTTGAGGAGGGCGCCCGACGAGGGGGCCTGCTCGCCGATCGGCTGCTCAGCGATCGCGCGGCTGCGGCGCCGCTGGCCCCCGCTGTCCTGCAGGGGGCTGTCTACGTCGACAATTTTCTGGTGCTTGGCGGGCCCCGCCAAGCCGTCGCCTCTACTGGGCGGCGAGTTGCGAGCGCCTTCTCCGACTCCGGCTTCGTGGTGCACGAGGAGACTGGCGCGTCGTCGAAGGTGAACTTCGCGGGGCTCGAGTTTGACGGTGTCGACCATACTGTGCGGGTCTCGCGGAGGCGAGTGTGGCGCCTGAAGGTAGCTCTGGCCGAGCTGCTCTCCCAGGGGCGCTGCGGCGGCGACGTCATGGAGATCCTGGTCGGCCACCTGACGTGGGTCATGCTGCTCCAGCGGTCCGCGCTCTCCGTCCTGTCCAGCGTGTACGCTTTTGCGCAGGCTGGCAAAGGGCGCGTGCTGGACCTGTGGCCTTCGGTTCGCCAGGAGTTGACGACGGCCGTGGGCCTGCTCCCGCTGCTCGTCGTCCACGCCGACGCCGTCTGGCACAGTGTCGTCGCGGCCAGCGACGCCTCCCGCTGGGGCTGCGAGGTGTGCCGCCGGCACTGCCAGGCTTCAGAGGCCGCTTCCTTCGGCCGGGTGGCGGAGCGCTGGCGCTACCGCGCTGCCGGGGCGGCCAACGCGCGCGTCCACGCCTTCCTCGCCGAGGGCGCGGCCCCGGACGTTGGCGTCGGCGCGGGCCCCGAGTCCGACTCGGCGCTCCAGGACGAGCAGCTTGGCTTCACCGCTGGACTGCTGCAGGCGCACGCGGACGCGTGCTCGTTCGACCCGGTCGACGCCGACTTCATGCATCCCAGCCGGTGGCAGGTGGTCCAGAGCTTCAAATGGGGGGCCGACGCAAACATCCTCCGCCTCGAGGGCTAGGCCCTGTCTTCGGCTCTTCGTCACCTGCTCCGGAGCCGCTCGGCTTTCGGGCGACGGCTGCTCGTCTTTGTCGACAACCTCGGGCTGGCTCTCGCAGTGGGAAAAGGGCGGTCCGGGGCCTTTCAGATTCGAGACGTCCTTCGAGAAGTCTGCGCCCTGTCTTTGGCCTGCGGGGTCCGGCTGTCTGTCCGATGGGTTCCGTCTGAACGCAATCCCTCGGACTACCCCTCCCGAGGTCGTCTCTTCATCAAGCAGGCAGGCGACTCGGGCGCCTCGGCTGCTGCTCCTGGTGCGGTGGCTACTGCTGGCGACGCCGAGTCTCTGCCAGCCGTCCCGCCATTCCCGAGCCTCATCAAGGGCGGCTCCATGCACGACGCGGACCCTGTAGGCAGAGGCCCACGCGTGGCAGGTGGGGCGGACTGCGATTCCCAGCGGGGTCCAGACGGCAGCGCGCCAGCGCTGCTTGCCGCTGCCCCCGTCGCCTTTCGCCCTCCCGACCCTGCAGCAGCTGACCTACCTGGAGGGGCGGTCGGTGAAGCCTGCGACGTACAAGGACTACCACCGCCGAGCCCTAGCCTCTGCCCAGAGGGCCACGGCGGCCCGCCAGGGTTGGGAGAACTACGAGCAGCTGGACCTCTGCCTGGTGCCGTCCCTGGACAAGCTGCTCTTCGGGGGCTTCACGGGCGACGACGCGAGCAGGCTGGTCGCAGCGGTGAAGTTCTTCTACCCAGACCTGGGCCGCAGGGGCGCCGGGGCGCTCCCGTGCACATCGCGGGCCCTGGCGGGATGGGGCAAGGTCGTGCCGCACCGGTCGCGGATGCCCTTGCCTTGGGTCCTGCTGGCTGCGATCATCGGCGTCTTGCTGCGCCGCGGCCTCGTGGAGCATGCTGTGGCGCTCCTGGTCTCGTTCGGGGCCTACCTTCGGCCAGGCGAATGCGACTCGCTCACGTCGCTCCAGTTGGTCGCCCCCGTCGCGGCGGCCGGAGGGGCCGCGGACGTCTGGGGACTGCTGCGGGCGCTGGTGGAGCTGGGCAACCCCAGAAAGACCAACAGCTGGGACGACGCGGTCCTCCTGGGCTCGATCCCGCACGTCTACCCCTGCCTCCTGGTCTTGAAGCGCCGA